GTGAGTCATGCTCAAACTTTCATTATTCTCCTGTAAAATGTTTCATTCCAGAGATGGGTGAGCACCCACAGATCCCAGAGAGAGAAGGTTATCAGAGAGGCGGTTTTGCATGTGATAAAAATGAGTCCTTTCAAACTAATGCCTTGCGCAGCTTTTAAAAAGTCCTTTTAAATCAACTTCACACGTGTACAACCCATTCCAGTCGTCTTACGATCAGTACCAGCACGATCCTAAAATAGCAACTGAGTGTTTTCTTAACAATAAAGTCCTTGAGGGACCCAGTTAATTAATTGCTTACAAAATTCATTGTGTAACAAAATGAATTAATAACAAACCTCTCAGTGATTCTGAATTCATGACTCGGTGCTAGGGATAAAAATGCGTTCAACAGTATTTCCAGGACTTTTTTTTTTACCTCGGTAATCAAAATAGGTCGCAAGCTACAGATACTTACTGAAATCAAGTGATTAAAAGCAATCATGCCGTCTGAATCATGATTTCAGTAAGTCCCTCCTGGCTGCAATATGCTAAACTGAATTAATCCGGAGAGCGCGTTGCTCTCACTCTCCCTGATGTGCTCCACACATCTCTAGTGTTAACCCAGCGTCGCCAGCCATCTGCATGCTATCGCAGTCGGCGAAAAAGCGTCTGGAGATGTGTGCACTCCTGGAAGAGCGTGTTGTGGATTCGGAATTTTGCTGGGAACTAAGGCGCTCCTCTCGTGCTGGAGCAGCTCGCTGTGATGTGATCGCCGCGGTGTGGGGGAGGCATGAGGTCCACCAGGATTCGTTTTAACCCAAGACGGAATTTTCATCCAACGCACAACCCGCCCCCACACACTCTCGTACACCCCCTCACCCAGACTTGACGTACAGGTGACGCGCAGGAGAGGAATGAGGCAAGTTTTTCTTTAGAGTTGTCCGCGCAGTAGGGCCGTTTGTAAAGCCATGCCAGTCAGATCTCTTCATCAAAAGACTTGTAGTCAAAGACCAGGGCTTTTCTCATTTTTAATATCCACGTTTTCTCAAGTTGAACTGAAAATGACTCTTCTTTCTTCTGTTTCCTTTATTCGATGCTTTAGGGGCTTTTAAGCTTTACGACCTCGATAACGATGGCTACATCACCCGAGACGAGATGTTAAACATTGTGGACGCCATCTATCAGATGGTGGTGAGTATGAGCTGGAGACCTTGTTTCTCCCTTGTGGTTTGGTTCTCCAACAGCAGTACCATGCCCTGAGGGATCGAAACGTTGCGTGCTTGTTGGAGGAAGGTGATTGCAGTTGTCTGTTGAAGTTGGGCTTAAAACCATCCTGCCATTCCAAAAAAATTAAATGCTAAAATTCAAAATTGGCGTCCATTTAACCTACACTGTCCTGTGAACAAAACAGACCTCCTGCAGTGCCAGGTCAGTACATTTACTCTGACTTCGTGCCACTGATATACCTGCAGGATCTGGAAAGTGTGCTTTGCAACAGGGACAAGGGACGACTGTTCATCAGTGACTGCTTCTGCAGTCAGTAAGAGCAGGGCTGCAGTTTTACACCTTATCTGACGGGTGGAGCTCAAAGAGCTGCTCGCTTAGGCTGATGCACAGCGAGTCGGTGGCAGAGCTCGGATTTGAGCTGGGAGCATCCTTTAGTTTTAGCCCTCTCGTCCCTGGAGGGTGCGAGGTTTCCCAGGTCTCTCCCGGACTCCTGCCCTTTGGGTGGACAGATCTCCGTGGGGCCGGTCACGGCGTATGGCGGGGGGGGGACACAGCAAAAAAAAGAGAAAAAAGCGAGCATTTCTCTCCCTCTCTCCAGGGGAACACTGTGGAGCTGCCCGAGGAAGAGAACACGCCGGAGAAAAGGGTCGACCGCATTTTTGCCATGATGGACAAGGTAAACGCCATCCCACTGCCTGGCCCACTTCAGCTCAGCCTGGCCCAGCCCTGCACAGTGGCTTGCGGGTCTTCAGGCACAGCGCTGAACGTGCTGCAGCCCCCCTCGGTGCAATCCCGCCGGCTCCTGCAGGGGCAGGCAGGCAGCCCGCGGTGGTGGCGGTCAGTGATGATGGCCAGACGCTCTGAACGATGGTTCTCTCGAGGTGCATTTCCTCTTGACCACAGCCCCCAAACTCCAGCTGCACATATTGTCCAGACCGTGCGCCCTCTTCAAGAGGCTCTGCGCCTTTATTTCATGCCACCCTTGTCTCACGTTAGGAGATCGGCTCTGATGCCTTCATTTCTGCCTGGGTCCGTGACCAGCGTCATCTCCGCCGCGCG